TGTTCTTTCCTCATTACAATAATGACGATTTACATGCTTAAGATTAGCGCAGTTGCTACTTATTTTGTGCTCGAGTAGGTTGTTTTGGACGATTCCTGAGTGCTGTCTAGGCTTTTCTTGGCTTAAATATTTTTGATTTGAATGCTAAATCTAATTGCGGCTTAGTAAAGGGTAAGCGTGAAGGGCGCTTGGAAGCTTGTGCAAATTATTAATTTTGGTTTATGCATTGGCGTTGACAAAAGCTCTTATATACGATTTTTTACTTGTTCTGTATATTTAGACCTCGTTCGCGTGCCAGTAAATACATAAGTACAGTAACTTTGTGAGCCAGTGAACGAGGCTGATTAGCTGGTTGACGAGTTTTTACTTCAGCACGCAAGGATGCTTGCTTTTGGTTTATGTGGGGTGGGTTAGTGGGTGGATGGCTGGCTGGCTGGTTAAGTGCGTAGGTCACCCCTAGCCTCCACTCTCACCCACCCTCAAGCCGAGTGCTTGTGAGAGGATATAGGGAGACCTGAGAAAAGGAGCAGACGCAGGACAGTTTAAGATTTTGCGTGACTCGCGTTAAGGGACAACAAACCGGAAAACTCGCGTGTTTGCCTACACACAGACACACACACACACACATACATACACACACAAGATTCGCTCGATTCGCGGATGATGACAAGCACGTCGTAGCGAACGAATGGGCACAACAGAAACCTCTGGTCGAAGTAAGAAGTAAGCCTTTAAGCGCACGCACTGTCAATCCAGGTTTCACATAAAGTAGTGGAATTGCTTCTAAATTATTTTTCCATTAAAAGAACAAACACCAAAATTCTGATGCTGAAGCAAGTTGTCTGATAAAATGAGTTTTGCCAATGGGCTTGCTACTAAAAAATACCCTGTATATCTTATTATTTCGATTTCTTCCTTCAACTTTGAACTTTGCCTAAAAATGGGAGTTCATAAACAGTGCAATCTAAAAAGAAACAGAGTAAAGGAACTTCTGTCCGCAATCTTTTTCCACCTCTTTAATTTTTCAAAAGCATCTAACGCCTAATATGTGACCGGTTTGGTAATTATGGGGCTAGAGAAACTAAGTTAGCATGGCACTATAAGCATGTTTAGTGGAATGGAAGCATGGTAAAAACCTCTCAAAACTGCAGTAAGATTACGACTGACGTCTTCGGTCCGTTGGAATGTCTGCTAGTGTCAGGTTAGAAGGGGTTTGCATACTTGCTAGTTTAGGGAACACTCATTTCCTTATGTGTAGGTGCACTTATTTTGGATGCCAAGATTTTCAGTACACGAATGGCTGTGAGTGGTTAGAAAGTATTTAAAGATCGTATGCACATGTTTGCGCCTAGACGTTCCTCGAAGGTTATTATTTTGTTGTCTGGTAAAGCCACCATTAGTCTGATCCTGAGGTTACTTTGAAAACAACTTCAATGGAACTGATGATAATGCAAGAGGGTAAGTCCACGCCTTCATGTTTCCACTAACTAACCAGAGATTGGATTTCATAACTGTTTCAAAGAATAACGTTTTAACAAAAGGTAGAAGCTTTAGCTTGCAGATGTTTGATCACTTTACGATTTTGGTGGAAGTGGGATGGTTGAAATGATTGTGTAGATTATGGAATGCGGCATGATTGAAACCTTCGTGTCCTCCTCGAGGCACCCAACCACGTCATTTTGACCTCTCCTGCAATAAAAGGATGGATAAATTTTTGTTATCTTGCAAGCATAAATTAACAATAAATCTCGCCTTCGGTGTTTGTCGCCGGTTCACTTGCATGCCTACATCATTCGTTTTGACCAAACACGAGTTTGCAGGGTAAAAATTATTTAGCGATTCGAATCTTTCATGATTAAAAAAGGCTAAAAAAGTTTGGATAGAAGTGCAGCCAGTATGGTTTTTGACATTAACCAGATGGTTTTACTTGTCGATCCCATTTTTGGTTGGGGCAGATGCGCATCACATCTTTACATTAGTTTTTAATCTTATGAAAGCATCTGAGTGCATTATTGTCTGCTGATGGTATTATGTATTCGATTCGTCTCATTTTTTACTTATAAATGTATTGCTGTCTTTGCTACTTAGTCCTTTGAACTTTCCACCATGTTGCCGCCAAATATGATGACTTCGCAGCTTCCGCGTCTAGTTGAAAAGCGCAAATGAGTATGCCTAAATCACAGACGCATACACTCAGCCCTGCAATAATCGAAATCAACGAAGTCCTCGCCACTAAAAGGGGCTTGTGCACTCTCCTTCAGTCATTTACTTATTCGGGAAGCTGAGTAAGGTCTTTTGCGCACAGTTGTGTCAAACAATAATTGTCTAGTATCATGAATAGGGGAAAAAACCGGTGTACTTTGTCTAACATCTGCAATTATTTTGCATGATGTCTAAAAAACACTTTTTTGGCTTGTTGAAATTTTTGACAAATCATTGCAATTGAAGGTCAACCAAATGGAAACAGGATTAATTGCCAGTCAAGTAATTCGTAAGATTGTTGAAAGATGATTGGACAATTGCACCGTCGGACAAGTAACAAAGTAATTAATGGTAAAACAAGAAGGAATTAATGTCCTCAATTGATTTCGTAATCATGGCACAAGAATTGTTCATAAACCATGTTAAGTTAACTACATCGTTCTGGTAGATATATGCATAAAACGAGAGGTCTACGTAGATGGTCTTATACACAAGTATGCACTTTGTTCAAATTACTGACGTAGGAGCGAAAAGATCAAAGTGAATGCACAACTACGCGCACCTCAGCACACAAATACACACACACACACACACA